AAAAAAAAAAAAAAAAAAGAAGTATCATTTTTAAAAGTCAAGGAAATAATTTGACTTTTAATAAGATGGTGTCTTACTGCTACTACATTTCTCTGGTTAATACAACTCAAAAACAACTGTGACACACTATGTCAAGGAACAAAAATGCCCAGGCTGACACAGCCCTGTTGGCAGCTGTAAAGGAAGACAGCTGGAAGGGCTGCATGGTGACTTTAGGTGGGGCAGCTCCAGGCAGGAAGGCCTTTTCCAAGATCCCCTGGATCCTGCAGAGACTGGAACCTTGGGCCCCAGTACTGTGCGACAGTGCGAAAGAGAACTGAAGCCGGTAGAAAGCCAGGTTGACCTGTGTCCTGCCCCCCAGGAGTCACTGCAGAGACAGCACTCCTGGTAACGCTAAGAACCACAACATTAATTGAAAAACAAATTAAATCCTGACTAGTCTTCCAAACAAGGGCCCAAGGAAGCTTTCACTGGGGACTGTAGGGGCTGCTTAAGACTAGGGGCACGGTGGCTCATGCTTGTAATCCCAGCACTTTGGGAGGCTGAGGTGGGTGGATCACCTGAGGTCAGAAGTTCGAGACCAACCTGACCAATGTGGTGAAACCCCATCTTAAAAAAAAAAAAAAAAAAAAGACTTTAACTGTTAGCACCAACCATGATATAAAAAGTATGCATATTTCTCCGATTTTCAATTTTTCACTGGTCTTGACTTTCTGTGTTAGGTTCTCCAGAAAGCAGAATTAATCGAATATATACACACACACACACACACACACACACACACACACACACACACACATAGATAGATAGATAGATAGATATATGTATATGGAGAGAGAAAAGATTTATTTCAAGGGATTGGCTTATGTGACTATGGAGGCCGATAAGTCTGGAATCTGTAGAATAGGCCAGCAGTCTTGAGGTTCAGGGAAGAGTTGATACTGTGGTTCTAAATGGTAGCATTTGAATTCCGTAGGGCAGCAGGCTGGAAACTCAGGCAGGTTTCTCTATTGCAGTCTGGAGAAGAATTAGTTGCCCTTAGGGAAAGCTTAGTCTTTGCTCTTAAGGCCTACCACCGATTAGACAAAGCCCGGCCCTGATGCGTAGGTAGTGTGCTGCACTTGAAGTCTACCGGCTTCGATGTTAATCACATCCAAAAAACATCTTCACGGCAACAAGTAACCTGTTCTTTGACCAAACAACTGGGTACCATAGCCAGCCACACTGACACATAAAATTAACTATCACACCTTCTCTTTCTCTTAGTATTTACTGGGAAGGGAAAGAAAAGAAAAACACGATCAGATAAGAAGCGAAAACCCAATGTTCAGTGAGAGGTAACCCGTACTGAATATTTGAGAATTACCTGGCCTGCAGTCTCTTGTACTAAGGAAAGAGGGAAGCTGGAATTCAGGCTCTGTGGTAAGAAATGCTATGTAGTAATAACAACAACACAGTCACAGCTGCCAGCCCCTGAGTGCACACACAGGGGCCAGATGTTCTGCTGCTTTACAGAATCCCATTTAATCTTTAGTGTCCCCTGAGTTGGATGTCTTCATCCCCATTTTATAGGTGCCTCTGCCAGAAGAAACAGACTGGGCACCAAAGGCAGGGCATCTAGAAGAATCCTGGTGAATGCAGAACAAACAACCACCACCAACTGAACACTGAATCAAAGCACTTGCTAGCCTTGGTTAGATTTTTAAAAGTGCTAGAACCCATTCAAGATGAATTTGGGTTATAGCATCAGTCCACAGCTTTCACAGTGAATTTATATTTATAGGACTAATGAAAAACTCACCCACCAGCTCCACTCTCCAACACAAGTCAATTTCCTGATGACTAATCAGGAAACTGGAATACCATCAGAAACCCCAGTGCTGGGGTTTACCAGCTCTCACGCCCCTGTTAGCAGACATTGCTTACAGATGCACCACAGCCTCTGAGCAGACTCCAGTAGGGATACTGCCTCCAATCCTGCAACCAAATGTCTGGTTCCTCATTTGACTTTGTTGAGACAGGATTTCACTCAGGCTGGAGGGTAGTGTTATGATCACTGCTCACTGCAGCCTTGATCTCTGTGGCTCGAATCATCCTCCCACCTCAGCCTCCCGCATATCTAGCACCACAGGTGCACACCACAACACCTGGCTAATTTTTTTTTTCTTTTTTTTGGTAGAGACAGGGACTCCCTATGTTGCCCAGGCTGGTGGCCAACTTCTGGGCTCAGGAGATCTCCCGCCTCAGCTTCCCGAAGTGCTAGGCTGATAGGGCTGAGGCACTGCAGCCAGCCTCATTTGACTGTTTGAATCAGATGAAGACATTCCATCTTCAAGACTGCGCTTCTGTCTGCGAGAGACTTGGTTCACTGTGTGCAATTGAGTTAGGAGAAGGAATGCTCCTGCCACCTGCAGGCGTTGCTGCATATGACCACGCAGGCCTGCGGCCACTGCTATCACCATGCCTCGTGAGCACGCGCCACATCCCTGAGGTGCCGGGAGCCCCGTGCATCCCCTGCATGTGCAGTTGGCCTCGCACTGGTGTTGATCTGATAAGACTTCTTTCAGAACTCACCAAGAATGCCATGCACGCTCTTGTGTGGGATCTCAGTGAGGATCATAATTGCACCATATTCATTGGCAAAATCCTTTGGCTCCTGGGCTGCTTCATCAGAATGAAAGAGGTCCAAAGAGCAAGTGACAAAAGTATGCATGGAGACTGAAGAAAATCTTTGCGGAGTGTACATCAAAGTCTTTCCACTATTTTTACTTGAATTTCAATTGCTTCATGTAATGTTTGTTTTGGGATTCACTACCCCACAATTGAATTCCGTGGACAGCTTAGTTTTTAATTTTAAGATCACTGCATGTCACCATCCCAAATTCCCTCTCATGCATTGTCCTCCAACACACACCCAGCGTATTTTATATAATCTCAAATGTCTGGTCTTGGAAGTACAGGAAGATGAGAACATGACCCTAAATAATCATGTGATAATTCTCAGCACATTCATAATTACTGGACAACAGACATATCCTGACCAACTTCCTAGCCAGCTAAAATACAACTCCTAGCTTTGCCCTTGGGATCACAAGATTTTTGGGCTGAGAGCTACAGATTAGTCTGTAGACTCCTATAAGCCACCTGTGTTACCGCAGCTGCTTCCACCTGGTCTGGAGTAGGCGGTCCCCCTGTCGGCTTGATTCCCCATCACTCCCTAATCCCCAGTTGAAGTCACATGTATGATGCCACAGTCCCCAGGGATTGGCAACATTTTTTCCATCAAAAACCAGACAAATATTTGGGGCTTTGTGGACCACATAGTCTGTCACAACTACTCACCTACTACAACTACACAACAACTCTGCACACAGCTGCACTCTACTCTGCCATCTAGCGTGAAAGCAGATGTAAATAATGGAAGTAAATGAATGAGCACGGCTGTGTTCCAATAAAACTTTATTTGAAAAGCAAGCAGCAGTCTGGATTTGGTTCTTACACCGTGGCTGGGCCCCTCAGCTAGTCCGCGCATTTACAACACTTTCCTGTTTCTTTGTCCATGATACTCATTTCCCCAGATCTTTCTCTACATTTGCTTTATACAAAGGGTACTTGTTTACATGCCTATCTGGAATCATCCCTTGCTATAAATAGATACGCTTCTTTTTGGTAAACAAAAATGAAAAAAATATCAATCAACAAACACTGAGCATTTGCAGTGATTCCAGCTTGGTGGTCGCCAGGGGTGAGCCATAAGTGTTTGAGTTCCCTAGGGCTTCTCGATTCACTCGGAGACATGGTAGAAACATATCAAATGCTAATAGTTATTCAAAAGACAGGAGATGGCACAGGATTAGGCAGTTACTAAATGGATGTACAAGAAATACATGTAGATTTCAGCCAGGCATGGTGGTGTGCACCTGGTAGTTCCAGCTACTCAGGTTGAGGCAGGAGTTTCCCTGGAGCCCAGATGTTCAAGGCTGCAGTGAGCCAAGATCACACTGCTGCACTCCAGCCTAGGTGACAGAGCGAGACCCTGTCACAAAAACGAAAAAAAAAATTACATGTAGGTTTTAACTATGGCACTTAGCACAGTGCCTAAAACCACCAAGATACATCACAACTTGGCTCAACAGCTAGTATGTAAAGTAAGTGTTGTAGCGGCTGCTCACTGAATCAGGTTCAAGGTCCCAGGTTCATTCACACTCCAGCTGTTTCCATCCAGCTGTGAACCAGAAGGGGTGTTCATTATCAGGTGTGCAGAAGGTGAATACGGTCCCTATGCTTCAAAATTCATGCTCCATAGAAATTCATTGGAGCTATGCCACACTTCTCTTTATATTTTGCATTGCTGAGAGACACTTAACTGTTTTTAGATTTAACATTCCTAACCACAATATTCAATAAATAAATGTTAAGTACCTAAAATGTACACATGTTATTCTAGGAGCTGGGTGTACAGTAGTGAACCAAAAGACAGCACTGCCCTGTGCAAAATGGAATTATCTCCATTCAGAGGGGAGCCTTCGAGAACGGGAATGACTTGCCCTGGTCACAAAACTAGATGGCAGCAAGCTCCGAAGGTGGGTTGCTGGGACTCCATTCCCCTCTAACCATACCTCTGCTGTGTTCCTCTTGACCCCGATGACAGGTACCCGCAAGATGGAGTACAAGGGCAACAGCTGGCACGAGACCTGCTTCATCTGCCACCGCTGCCAGCAGCCAATTGGAACCAAGAGTTTCATCCCCAAAGATAATCAGAATTTCTGTGTGCCCTGCTATGAGAAACAACACGCCGTGCAGTGCGTTCAGTGCAAAAAGGTATCTCAGATTCCCCCTTGGCTCTCGCATGTTCTGGCCGGTTTGCCTCCGCAGTCTGTGTTTGTCAGTTCTCTTTCCAAAAACAAAGGATACTTGTGATACTTGAATGGCATGAGAGCTGTGCCTGTCCTGCCTTACATTCTGAGCATTTATCTGTTGGGTCTGTGTTCCCATCCTTCTTTCAAAGACATCAACACTGTTGTGCTCTGTGAGCAAGTCGTTTAACCCTGACTTCTTCTAGACCATTTCTGAATGTTTTCATGTGGATGACCTGATATTAGAGGGAAGGGGAGCCACTATCCCAAAGCTGTCTTGTCCACTCCTCTCCATGAATAAAACAGGAAAACAACTGCAAACTTGAGAGGGAGAGAAAGATGGAAGGAAGAGGGAGGAGAGGAAGGGAGGGAACAGGGAGGAGAGAGAGACAATGTGAGAAGAAAAGTAAAGGAGAAAAGGTTGGCCACATGGATATGGGATAGATCATTTATTAAATGCATCTACTCTGGCCATTCATGGTGGCTCAGGCCTGTAATCCCAGAACTGTGGGAGGCCAAGGCTGGTGGATCACCTAAGGTTAGGAGTTCAAGACCAGCCTGGGCAACATAGTGAAACCCCATCTCTACTAAAAATAAAAAACTTAGCCAGCCATGATGGCACATGCCTGTAGTCCCAGCTCCTCGGGAGGCTGAGGCAGGAGAATTGCTTGAACCCGGGAGGTACATTGCAGTGAGCTGAGATTGCACCACTGCACTCACACCTGGGCAAGTGAGACTTTATCTTAAAAAATAAAAAAAATAAACCTATCTACTCTATAATGTGTGGTTCCAGTCATGGCTCTGTTTGGGTTAAAGAAGGAAAGAGAACCACACACCTGTAGTAAGCCGTCTCTCTCCTACCTGCCCTATTGCCCCCACCTGGATCCTTTAGGGTATAGCTTAGTTTTCTGCTGTGCCCGCTGGCTCTTAAACACATGCAGCATTGATTATGCTACAGCTTCCAGCGTTTCTGTGCTGTTAGGATTTGTGCCAGCCTGTGGAGTGGCACCCTCCCACTGCTCACTCACCCTGGGCAGTGCCAGCTGTAGAACTCATTGCAGGCTCTGTTTGCTCTCATCCTTTTATTGGCTCTGCTCACCCAGATTCTACTGTTTTGCCCTTGGGACCTCTACCCTTGCCTCTGGGCCATGGAGAAACATCCCCTATACCGCTACCTGGGTGAGAATGTGCTCTCCTCGCCTGCACCTTTTCTAAGTGCTGAGTATTCTTACCAATTTCCATTCAGCCTTTCTCTCTTGTTTCTTGTTTCCTTCTGTCTTGTTTCCACCTGTTCTTTTTTTCTTTTTCTTTTTTAAAGACAGAATCTCACTCTGTTGCCCAGGCTGGAGTGCAGTGTCGCGATCTTGGCTCGCTGCAACCCCTGCCTCTCAGGTTCAAGCAATTTCTCCTGACTCAGCCTCCCAGGTAGCTGGAATTTCAGGCACGCACCACCATACCTAGCTGATTTTTTTGCACATTTAGTTGAGACAAGGTTTCACCATGTTGGCCAGGTTGGTCTTGGAACTCCTGACCTCAGGTGATCGGCCGTCTTCGCCTCCCAAAGTGCTGGGATTACAGGCATGAGCCATTGTGCCCAGCCCCATTTGTTCATTACTGTTACTTTAAATTTTATTTCTCTTTATTTCCTCTTCTCTTATGCCGCTGTTTCTTTCTTTTTTTGAGCCAGTTTCACTCCGTCACCTGGGCTAGAGTACAATGGCACGATCTCAACTCACTGCAACCTCTGTCTCCCAGGTTCAAGCGATTCTCCTGCCTCAGCCTCCTGAGTAGCTGGGATTACAGGCACCCACCACCATGCCTGGCTAATTTCTGTATTCTTTTTTAGGAGAGACAGGGTCTCACCATGTTGGTCAGATTAGTGCAAACTCCTGTTTTTTTTCTTTATTCTTAGAGTGAGCTCTCATTCCTGCTGTTATTTTAGGGACTCTCTTCCCTGTTCTTCCCTTTATATTTTTATTTTGTTTTGTTTTTCTCATCAAGACCTACTGGAAGTTCCTTTGAATTGCCCTTCCTCTGTCATCTTTCCAACATGTGCTTTATTCATTTGCAGAAATGAAGGCAACACATCCTTCTGGGATGCATACCTTTGTGCACAAGTTCATTAAATACACACACAAACATTCATGCCAAAAGCATCCATTCCTCGATGTGAACTTGGCCCTCTCAGGCACTCAGGGATCCGATGCTGGACAAGACACAGACACTAACTGTAATCGAGGTGGAAGTACACTCCAATGTCAATCCCGTCAGTAGTTACTGAGCAGTGTGCGGAGAAGAGCAGGGTGTGGAATGGAAGAGCCTCAACTCATCTGAGGAGTGTGGGACCAGGGTGGTGTTTAGGGAAGGAGTCTCTGAGAAAGTCATGCTCTGCTGAGAGGCATCGAGTTAGCTGATGTGGGTGGGAAGCATGGAATCTGGAGCGAGGGAGGACTCGGGATGTATGTTCCAGGCAGAGGAGGCGTCTTACACACACGGGCTGCTGCACCCACATGGATATGTTGCAACCAAGCGTGTTTTGTGTTCATTCTCTTGTGCAGTGGGGTGAGTTACAGGAAGATGCTCTATGATTTATGGTTTAATGAAAAGAATACAAGATAGAAGGGAGTCCAGAATTCTAGCTCCTGCTTTGCCAGCTATGAATTCTTAGGCAAGTCACTTCTTAATTTCTCTGAGTCTCAGTTTACTCATCCATAAAATTCAGATAATATCTTTTTTTTTTTTTTTTTTTTTGAGACGGAGTCTAGCTCTGTCGTCGCCAGGTTGGAGTGCGGTGGTGCAAGCTCGGCTCACTGCAACCTCCGCCTCCTGGGTTCAAGCGATTCTTCCGCCTCAGCCTCCCGAGTATCTGGGACCACAGGAGCATGCCACCATGCCCAGCTAATTTTTGCTTTTTTAGTAGAGACGGGGTTTCACCATGGCCAGGATGGTCTCAATCTCTTGACCTCGTGATCCGCCCACCTCGGCCTCCCAAAGTGCTGGGATTACGGGCGTGAGCCACCGCGCCCGGCCTAAATTCAGGTAATATCTTTCTTACTTCACAAGCTTTATGTAAAGGCCAAAGGAGTTACTGGGTGATACCGAAGTGCTCAAAAAATAAAAAGCAAACAAGTGTGACTGTGAGGAGCTTGCACTCCATCTTCCATGGCCTTCGTCTGCCAAAAGCTGAAGCCATCTACACTCCTCTGATAGCTTCCTCAGCTCCACTGAGCACACATTTTTAAATAGAATGTGAGAAGCAACATTTGGAGAGAAATTCCAGGTAAAATTGAGGTACTGACGGTCAGTTCCACCTTGTGTGGCTTTGCAGCATCACCTCACAGATGTTCTAAGACCACAAGACAGGTGAGGATGACGGTATCAGGCTTATTTTTCCCAAAACTTCCAAGATGCCCATCTCTTCTTGTGGCATCAGCAGGTGCCAGTCCTGGCTGTCCTTTAAGCCTCTTCCTTCTTTCACTACGAGTAGCTGGAGAGACAGGCTCATGAGCAGTGTTGGAGCGGTTACCACTTGCCAGGGTTTTTGTTTTGTTTTTGTTTTTGAGACAGAGTCTCACTCTGTTGCCCAGCCTGGAGTGCGGTGGTGTGATCTTGGCTCACTGCAACCTCCATTTCCAGGGTTCAAGAAATTTTCCTGCCTTAACCTCATGAGTAGCTGGGACTACAGGCACGCCACCACACCCAGCTAATTTTTTGTATTTTTAGTAGAGACTGGTCTTGAACTCCTGACCTCAAATGATCCACCTGCCTCGGCCTCCCAAAGTCCTGAGATTACAGGCATGATAAAGTCCTGAGATTACAGGCATGAGCCATTGCACCTGCCCCGCCAGGCTTCTTAGTAAGAACTCCTATCAACTTGCTCCTTTAACCTCATCACTCTCATTTCCTGGATGAGAAAACTGAGGTGCAGAGATCTTTATTATGACCTGCCCCCAGCCACAGGGCTGGTAAGGAGTAGGGTTAGAATTCAAACCTAGGTCTCCTTGATGCTGTCTTCAATCCCGATCCCTCCATCGTGCTGCTTCCCTGCTCAGGAAGGTGGCAGTGCCACTGAAGCGCCCTCTGCCTTAGATCCCTGGCATCCTTGGGAAGGGCTGAGGGCAACCCCCAAGCTCCAGTTGCACTAATGGGAAAGCCAGGGCCTGTGACACTGGAGTGAAAGCGTGTGGCGAGGGTAACGGGTGACTGTGAAGTTTGTAAAGCAGCGTCTTGGTGACTTAACAAACCGGACGTTTTCTGGATGAGGATCTTGCATCGTCCAGTTGCAGTAGCTGAGACTGAAGATGTCTGCCAAGAATAGAGGCCACACTGATTCTCCCCCTCACCCCTGCAGCCCATCACCACGGGAGGGGTCACTTACCGGGAGCAGCCCTGGCACAAGGAGTGCTTCGTGTGCACCGCCTGCAGGAAGCAGCTGTGTGGGCAGCGCTTCACGGCTCGCGACGAGTTTGCCTACTGCCTGAGCTGCTTCTGTGACTTGTATGCCAAGAAGTGTGCCGGCTGCACCAACCCCATCAGTGGTGAGTGTCCTGGGGTCCCCACTTCGAAAAGCAATTGGAAGGTTGAGCAAGGCCTAGTATTTTAGCATGTGACCCTGTCTGTATCCCTGAACTCCCCAGACCTCCCTAAGGCTCTGGGCACAGCAGACTTTTCTGCCTATCTGCTTTCCTCTCCTCGGGGCACTGGCTATGCTTCAGCAAGTAATGATTACTTCCTCTGCAGCCCACCTGATCACTTAAAATCTTATGGCCAATGCTCTGGTTTAGTTTCTGCTTTGGGTTGGATTATCTCTAAAACTGCAGTCTGTGAGCCTGTGATGCCACAATAAAAACTGACACAGGCCTCTTCAGGCTTAGCAGCTGTGCTGTGCTCTTAGAAGTGTCCCCTAGCATCTTAGTGGGACGGTTGTATTCCAAAGCATCTTAGTGGGAAATTTCTGCCACAAGGCCATAGCTATATGAGGGCAGAAGGTACGTTCTAAGGAGTTTTTCATACTGTATTCCTGAAAAGAATTTGGCTAAGAGAGAGTCCAAAATCTGGCTGGCTGGCAGACCAGGCTTCTGGACTAAACTATTAAGCAGGCTGAAGAAATTCAGTGTAGAGAACAGACGATGTCACACTAAAGTCCTTTAAAAGGTCACCACATATTGCTACACAAATTAGTGACTGGGTGGGGAGAGAAAAGTGTGTTTTCTACCATAACAGGAGAAGTTTATGATGTGGAGTTTCCAATCCCATTGCATTCAGTTGTCTGGTTTGTCCCTATCAGAAGAAGGTGGCAGACACGTGGAGTACCTGGTGGCCTAGCTTTTCTATGTGGCTTTGCAGTGTTATTACACAAACACGTCTGTGCAGCCCCTGTGTGCTTGTCCTTGACTTTCTTTTCCCTAAGGCCTAGAACCAAGTTCACTTAACTCAGCTAACTCACCTTCCCAGGTCACTAAACAGTTCTCTCGTGTATAATCCAGAGCTCATTACATTTCCATGTGAAATTAAAAGATAAAGAAAAATCATAGTATTTACACTTTACCTATGTTAAAATATCTGTTTCTGGTCATTTATGTACCAGATTTCCCTTGGAATCATTTGGGGGAAAAAAATGCAGTCTTTTGCCAGAACATACTCATTTTTAATGCTTAACTTTAAGCAGTAACTTAGCAGTTAACTTCTTTTTTCAGCAAACTTCTGTTGAGGTAAATGTTTATAACATTAAGCTTTATAAAGTTATATAATCTACATAAAAGCACTTTCAAATGTAAAATGTTAGATATGGATGTGAACTGTGGTTATTGTCACACTGAGAAAAAAAACACTAGGAGAAACGAAATAAGAAGCTTTCCTCTAAAACAGCAGAGTTGATTCTTTGAAAAGCAGAGACTAATGTTTAGGAACATATGGAGCAACTTTGAAAAATAGCTGTATTAGTCTGTTCTCATGCTGCAAATAAAGACATCCCTAAAACTGGGTAATTTATAAAGGAAATAGGTTTAATTGACTTATAGTTCAGCATGATTGGGGAGGTCTCAGGAAACTTACAATCATGGTGGAAGGGGAAGCAAACATGTCCTTCTTCGCATGGCGGCAGCAAGGAGAAGTGCTGAGCAAAAGTGGGGGGAAAGCCCCTTATAAAACCATCAGATCTTGTGAGAACTCAGTATCACGAGAACAGCATGAGGGTAATTACCCCTGTGATTAAATCACCTCCCATCAGGTCCCTCCCACAACTCATGGGAATTATGGGAACTACAATTCAAGATGAGATTTGGGTGGGGACACAGCCAGCTCATATCAGCAGTTAAAGTTTTAGAAATTTCCAAACAATTGTACAAGACTGATTGTTTAGATTAAGCTTCTAACAGGTCCTTAATATTTTTTCTCTTTAATAAAATTTAAATAATTTTTTTTTTTTTTAAGATGGGGTTTTACCATGTTGGTCAGGATGGTCTTGAACTCCCGACCTCAGGTGATCCACCCACCTTGGCCACCAAAGTGCTTGGATTACAGGCATGAGCCACCACACTTGGCCTAAATTTTTTAAAATAAATTGGATGTTGACATTTTCCAACTTGTTATGTGCAGTGATGCTGCACATAAATATAGTTGATTCTCATGATTCCCAGAGTCTGAACTTGCAAATTTGCCTACTCACTAAAATTGATTTGTAACCCCAGTTTAATACTCATGGTGATCAGACATGCATAGAACAGTGACAAACTTGCATTGTCTGATGCACACATTTCCAGCTGTCGGTGAACAAGGTGACACTCTGCCTTCTAGTTTCAGCTCTCATCCTGTCAATAAGAGTCCTTTTCATAGTCTACATAGTGATAATTTTTTGAATTTTTGTGGGCAGTTCTGCTGTTTAAATGGCCTCCAAGTAAAGTTCTTTCTAGTGTCCCTAAGTGCAAGAAGGCTGTGATGTGGTGGTTGAGCGCGGTGGCTCACGCCTGTAATCCCAGCACTTTGGGAGGCCGAGGCGGGCGGATCTCGAGGTCAAGAGATCAAGACCATCCTGGCCAACATGGTGAAACCCCATCTCTACTAAAAATACAAAAATTAGCTGGGCGTGGTGGTGTGCGCCTGTAGGCCCAGCGACTCTGGAGGCTGAGGCAGGAGGACTGATCGAACCTGGGAGGCAGAGGTTGCAGTGAGCTGAGATCACGCCACTGAACTCCAGCCTGGTGCCTGGTGACAGAGTGAGACACTGCCTCAAAAAAAAAAAAAAAAAAAGAAGGCTGTGATGTGCCTTACAAAGAAAAATACATGTTAGATAAGCTTCATTTAAGCATGAATAGTGCTGTTGGTCATAAGTTCAATGTTCATGAATCAACAATATATATTAAATAAGGAATCTTTAAACAGAAACATACACACAAAGCAACATTTCGTATTGATGAGTTGATGAAAATCTTGTGACCAGAGGCTTACAGGAACCTAACCCTGTTTTTCTCATAGGAGCAGTGGTTCAGTATTTGCTAATTCACTGTGCACAGGAAGATTATGGAACATAGCTTCCAGGAATAAGCGGAATTGACTGTATATACATCTTCCCGTTAGGAAGAGTCATCCCCCTGGGGCTATCCTTGGCTCTCTTTTCTACAACTTGCTCCATTTGCTGGCATTTCAGGGCAAAAGAGGAGTTCCTAAAAGAATTTCAACCTGGGACAGCTGCCCTGCTTGTCTCCTGTCACTAACACCTTTACTTCCTCCCCTCTGCCAGTGTTCCTCCTTGCCTCTGGCTCTATGCTGTAGGGGGACTCATCAGAGGTGAGAGGAAGGAGAAATGTGGAATGGTAGAAATGCCAGGGGAGCTCCTTCCTGGTGTAGCTAACTTAGAGTGATCAATAAACTGAGAAGAAAAACACCCACTTTCCAAACCCCAGAAGCCTCTCTTCCTAAATCAAGTGACAGCATTGCCTTACTTTCCAATACTTGGTTGCACATTGGAGACACCTGGGTGCTTTAGAAATGACTGGTGCTTGGGTCATGATTTAATCAATGTGAGCTGTGACTTAAGGCATGGGGCTTTTCAAAAGCTTCCCAGATAATTTAGTTGTGCAGAAAAGTTGGGACAACTTACTTAAACCATGGTTGGGTTCTGCTGCAGTGCTGGCCAGTGAGTGCTGTGGTTTGTGGTCTTCCATAGCCCTTAGGTGTCTAGAACTGGTAAAGGCAATTGATATTCTATTTGATATAACTGTTGTTAAAGCTGTGAGATATTTGGGAAAAGAGAGTTGAAAAGTTTTGCCAGTACGTAGTCTGGCAGCAGCGGCAGTGAGGTACTAGAAAAGGCACAGAAACTTGCACTAAAAGGCCTGGGTTTAGGGCCTAGCCCTGTCCCTGACTTGCTGAGGAGGGTTATGTCTGAGATCTCCCCCATGTGCAAGAAATTAATGCCAAACACCAGCCTAGACAATTAAGTTATAATAGGAACTGTTTGATAAATTACTGACTCCTCACGTAAGTCGGAGACCCCAGGCTATTAGAAATGGGGGCATCAGGGTGGCCCTACTTTGTATTTAATAAGGTTGACAGAACGATTATTTCTGAAAGAACTCTTTGTAATTGGAGTTCATGACCCAAATATCGCTAGATCAATCACAATCCTGAGATAAGCCCATGTATTTGAATCTTTTCTATTTCAGATTTGTCACCTTCAGTAGAAACCAACTATTATAATCAGGAACCAATGTACCTTAAGTATTTGATTCTATTCTATCTGTCTGTAGCTTTCTGAGGATCTTTCCTCTGCAACAATATCCCTTTCCCCTTGTTCCCACCCACATCCCACTTTATGAGGCCTTTCCTGGTCATCCCAGAGAGGATTAACCTTTTCCTCTTCTACACTCCCTTCAGTGCGTCAGTCATTAAGTCACAAAAATTTGAGCACCAGGTGACATGAGGCACCTAGTGAAGGCATAGAGAAATCTGCTCCCTGTTCTCACGGAGTTTCATTTTTGTGGGAAAACACAACAAATACACAGAGGCAGCATTCTTTTATGGCACCTATCACATCGTTTTGGAACCAGTTTATGCATCTCTTCTGATATTCACTAGCTCCTCCAGGCTGTGCATAGAATCCGATTTATGTATAGATTCCCAGCACCCAGTCACTAGAAACTCTCACTATCCATATTACACAATCCAAAGTTTGAAATGGATCAAACCAGAATTCCTTTTTCAGTCCCAGTTGTCTGATTCTCACTAGTTCTTCATCCAGTATTATTTCTCTCTGTTAACAGGACTTGGTGGCACAAAATACATCTCCTTTGAGGAACGGCAGTGGCATAACGACTGCTTTAACTGTAAGAAGTGCTCCCTCTCACTGGTGGGGCGTGGCTTTCTCACGGAGAGGGACGACATCCTGTGCCCTGACTGCGGAAAAGACATCTGAAGTCAACACAGAGAAGCTGCTGCCTGTGATCTCACACACACATTTATACATTTTCTTTCTCAACCAGGCAATCTTGCCTTCTGGTTTCTTGCAGCCACATCAAGACTTTCTTCTTGTGCTTTTCAGTGATACTCACGTTTGCTTAAACGCTTTAGTGCTTTGTGCTAGTTCAGTCCCAGGGAAAGAGAAAACTCTCCATAGGCCCTAGGTGGGAAGATGGTTTGAAATTTTTGTAATCGGATAAGGCACACCCAAATGTAAAAATCCTTTTGAATGATGTCTTTATAAATCTATCTTTCTCTCACTGCCTATTTAAGTGCAATTAATATATGTCACAAATTCAAAAGTTTTCTAAACTCAGTAAGGTAATGACCAGTGGGTATTTACAGCTCTGTAACTTCCTGTTATGTCAAGCCTAAAGTAAGATTATGTGACTTACAATAAAGTTATTCAGAACAAAATCTTTTGCCAGGCACAGTGTGTGAAATAATGATTAAAAGTTGAGACCTGGCTGGGAGCAGTGGCTCAAGCCTGTAATCCCAGCACTTTGGGAGGCCAAGGCAGGCAGATCACTTGAGGTTGGGAGTTCGAGACCAGCCAGACCAACATAGAGAAACCCCATATCTACTAAAAATACAAAATTAGCTGGGAATGGTGGCTTATGCCTATAGTCCCAGCTACTCAGGAGGCTGAGGCAGGAGAATTGCTTGAACCCAGGAGGTGGAGGTTGCAGTGAGCCGAGATTGCACCATTGCACTCCAGCCTGGGCAACAAGAGCGAAACTGTCTAAAAAAAAAGATTGAGGCTCTGAATGTAAGTAACACTTTATTGCATGGTGCCATGGTCACTGTATGAAGTGCAGTTCCAATGGCCTGGGGCAGTGCCAACTGGAATAGCATCACACCGTTTCTTTAAAGGAAGCCTTCAGTCAGCACCAGGCACCTCTTCCTTGCTACCTTCTCTCTCTTCCCCTACTCTTTCTCTTGGAATGTAGTACCCTGCATTTGATGCAGTAACATAAACTCCTGACAGTGAAGCCAATTTTCAGGTCACTTTTCTTGGCAGAGCTTATCGGCTCTATCCCAGTGTTATGGATCCATATCTTACACCGACTTCCATAAAGTGAAGGATTGCACAAGGACATCAGCAACTTGGGGCCAGAGATGACATCCTTTTCATCTTTATGTTCTCAACACCCTAGCGAATGAGGGCACATTGGGAACCTTCAGTGTTTCTGAAAAGGGGAGTAAAGCAGGGAAGACACACAGTCATTACAGTAAAAATAATATCCTGAGCTCCTAGTGTGGCAGTATCCTATAAAATAATCTCAGATAGCAGTATACAATTGGAAAGCACCAAGCCAATATATGAGATAAAGATAGTGCATTATTACACAGTTCTCTAGAATGGGAGCATTAGTGACCTTTTTGTTCTTGGTTTTCTAAGAAAATGCAATATAATAAAATGATACACTGAGCAACAGAAAAAATTTGGTGGAAATCAAGTCTGATATAGGCTGAGCATAAGTGAAGTCAGTTTTTTAATCTGAGTAGTAGTCACTGTTAGGATGTTTGATAATGTCTGGAATGATTCTTTTGGATTTATAGTTGATATGAGGTTTTACTTGAATAATTTCATCCCTTGTTAGTTGTTTTGCTGTTTTCTACTTCATAATATGAAAGTAAAAGCACTCCAAATTTCATTTTGGAGCATCTTACTCGTTCCTCATTAAAACCATTGACTCTCCTAACCTTAGATTACCCACTCTAAAATTAATGGTGAGGGGGAGTTCCACTTCTAGTAAATAGCTCCAACTGGACTAATTCTCCCCCAAATCAACAATCATTCTGGACAAAATATTTTTTTAATTGCTGAGAACACTGGAGCATGATCCAAAGCAGGCAGGCATTGGAGGGGGTAGACACTTGGAAGAAGAGAACAACGTTGGCTGATTTTCCAGTTTTGGTCTTTTATCCAAGGGCAGGCCCCAGCCGGGCATCTTAAACTCTATTAGGAAACCTGTAGTCATACTGGCCTGAGGAACCAGAGGCCAGAGTTTAGGACAAACAGCCTTTGGAAAGTGAGGGAAAAAATCCTAAGAGGAGAGCCCCAAGTTCATTGTATGAACTTAGAAATTTCTGAACTGGGTATACTTAGGCCAGAGCAGCTCAACCAAGGCTAAAAGCAGTGACTGACAGGACTTCAGGGACAGTAGCGGGTAGGGCTCAGCTGACCAACCCTCTTCCTATGGAAGAAAATTACTTTCATATCAACCACACCACACAAGTTCTCTGAATACAACAAATAAACATTCACTCAGGAAAATCCACTATTAAAATTCTTAGAACAGTGAATCTGGCATTTGAGCCACAACCTCCTTCCATCCCATCCCCACTCCCAGCTTCATGTGACAAACTCTATTCTGGACCAATGCAGCCAAAAAATAAGGGGTCTTTCTTCCCCCAGCTACCCTGGCCTAGGGCTCTGCCCCAGATGTGACAGGCTGAAAATCCTGGAGCTCCAATTGCCCCTACCCTAGCCTGCTTAGTGCGGAGGCTCCACATTGGAAGGGGCAATCTGAGAAGACCGGGGGCTACCAACCCATTCACAGAGAAGGGGTGCTACTCCCAGAGAAGCAGGCTGCTGTCCAGCCCCCAGGGGAGAGCCAGGCTCTGAGATTGGTACCTCAGCAGTTCTGCCCAACTGGTATTTGGTATGGTATTTGGTTCTGCCCAAGGGGCCTGGTATTTGGTATGGAGAACTGAGAAACCTGTGCCTAAGGGGATTGTCAAAAACAATAAGAGATCTTGCCAGTGAGCCATTAAGGAGGGGGCTGGTAACTCCATGTTACATAGCAAAAAGCAAAATACAGACCAGCCAGAAGTTTAACACAGAAAACTAGAGAAAGAGATAGCCAAGAAGGGCCTTCCTGGAATCTCGTTTATCCTTGGGGTTCGGGAAGTATGTATGGTCTGGGCTATATCCACTCAGGAGCAATCAAAGTGGGATGTGAAACAAACTTGGCATACACAGATCAAACAGTAAAGAGCAGAAATCATTTTAGCTCAAAGTGCTTAAGCAAAACCTCTGACCAAACACTGGCTGAACATATAAACATGTTTGTTCAAAGAACTAAAGGAAATCTTATTTAAAGAATTAACGAAAGGCAAGAGAACAATTATAGTTAGTCCTCCATATCCACGGGCACCTCATCTGTGGATTCAACCAACTATGGATCAAAAGTATTCAGGGAAAAAAAAATCCACACAGTTTCAAAAAGCAAAACTTGAATTTTCCACATGCTGAGTACTATATTGAATACATGCAAATGCAAGCAATGTGTAGGCACTGTATTAGGTATTAGTATAAGTAATCCAGAGATGATTTAAAATATACAAGATGATGTAAATAGTTATATGCAAATTCGATGCCATTTTATATAAGAGACTTGAGCATCCATGGAATTTGGCATTTGCAGGGTGTCCTGGAACTAATCACCCACAGATACCAAGAGATGACTGTGGTCACCAAACAAACCAATAAAGATATAAAAATTATTTTTTAATAAATCAAATGAATTCTGAAGTTGAAAAGTATACTAAGTGAAATGAAAAATTCACTAGAGGGGCTCAATAGTAGATTTGAATTGGGAGAAGAAAATCAGTGAACTTGAAGATGGAACAACAGAAATTATACAATCTGAAAAACAGAGAAAAACGAGAGAAGAGAAATGAGAAATGTAAGAAACCATTAAGCATAACAACATATGTGTAATGGAAGGACGAGGAGGCTAGGAGAGAGAAAAAAAGAGAATTAAATAGTTTTCAGAGTTAATGACTAGCTAGGTGCAGTGGCACATTCCTGTCGTCCCAGCTACTCAGGAAGCTGAGGTGGGAGGATTGCTTGAGTCTAGGAGTTTGAGGCCGCAGTGTAAGCAAACAGCACCTGTGAACAGCCACTGCACTCCAGCCTGCACAACATAGTGAGAACTTCTTAAAAGAGAAAAAAAAAGTTAGTGGCTGAAAAAGTCCTCAAATTTGATGAAAAAATATGAATCTACACATGCAAGAAGCTCAATAAACTCAAAGTAGGATAAATGCAGAGAACACACCCAGACACATCACATTCAAAATGCTGAATGCCAAAGATAATGAGGAAATTCTGGCTAGATGTAAAATAACATAGCTATATGATTAAGACTTTTTATTAAATTAGGAAATTAAACACACATATACAAAAGTACACAAAACAAATGTTAACAGGCAAAACTAAACCAATGGGATATTGAAACTGTTCTGTATTATGAATTGTAAACTACAGTCCCTGGGCTAAATCCTGCCCACTGCCTGTTTTCTTTCTTATTTATTTATTTTCGAGACGGGATCTCACTCTGTTGCCCAGGCTGGAGTGCAGTGGCATGATCACAGCTCACAGTAACCTTGAACTTCTGAGCTCAAGTGATCTTCTCACCTCAGCCTCTCAAGTAGCTGGGACTACAGGCGCGCACCACCATGCCCAGCTGTGTGTGTGTGTGTGTGGGGGGGGGGTTGTTGCCATTTTGAGACGGATTTCAATCTGTCACCCAGGTCACCCAGGCTGTAGTGCAGTGGCATGCTCCTGGCTCATTGCAACCTCAACCTCCCAGGTACAAGGGATTCTCCTGCCTCAGACTCCCGAGTAGCTGGGATTACAGGTGCATACCACCATGCCTGGCTGATTTGTTTTGTATTTTAATAGAGACAGGGTTTCGCCATGTTGGCCAGACTGGTCTTGAACTTCTGACCTCAAGTGATCTACCCACCTCGGCCTCCCAAAGTGCTGGGATTACAGGTGTGAGCCACCACACCTGGCTGATGGCTGGCTATTTTTTAAATTTTTTTGTAGAGATCAGGTCTCACTATGTTGCTTAGGCTGGTCTCAAACTCCTGGGCTCAAGTGATCCACCCACCTCAGTCTCCCAAAGCACTGAGATTACCACATGAACCATCACACTTGGTCTGTTTTATTTTAAAAAAAGTTTTATTCAAACACAGCCATATCTGTCTGTTCATTTATGCATTGGTTTGCTGGCAATTTATTACTGTCTCAACCTTTACAGAAATACCTGCCACCTGTGCTGTACTCTATCTTGATCTGGGTAGTAATATATACACATATACACATATACTTTTTTCCTGAGCTATATACCTGAGTTTTTTTTTTTTTTAATTCTACAGCATTTTATTATAACTCAATACAAAATTTAAAAAATGTTATATTTTGTATAGTTTCTTGTCTTGCAGTTATTAAAGCTTGTCTTTTTTTTCATTAAACAGCAAGTCAACTTGATTGATCTTTACTTGATTATGACAATATGTGAAAGCTTTGGGGGTTGGTCTCTACTGCCTGATGCTTCTGCTGCAGCTCACCCTGGGTCCACTGTTTTCTTGTATGCAAGGGTAACTTTGACTCGTTAATCACT